GTGACCCACGGCAATTCATCACAAATATTAACTGCAGCCAGAAATTCAGGAAAGTCTCCAAACAGCTCAAAAACACATAAAAATAATAGTATAATGTAGGCGGCTTGTCGTCGTGTTTATTAGCAACGTTATTAAGGATGATTTTTTAAAATTTGTATAAACGCAGTGATACTTCCAATCAAGAAGCTAATTTTCAAAATAAAGTGGTTTAACTCTGTTACCATAAAATCCACTAATTATTAAAAGGGATGGATTCAATAGTGTTGAGACAGAATTCAAACCGTTTTCTTGTCTACAGTCTCCTTTGTGAGTTTTAACATCAAGCTACGTATGCATGCAAACTTTGTGCTATTTTAGCCATTTCTGTCAGAACATTTGTTTGATCAGGAATAGTGTAGCATGACTTTTGTATATTTTTTTTTATTAAAAACTATTTACCAAAAGTTTTTTTCAAAGAAATAAATCGAGAGCTCATTGTTCTTTGAAATCTGCTTAAGCATGTCTGATCTAGTTTGGTCTTTTCCTTTAAGCCGTTTTGCAAAATGAGCTTTTAGCTGTGACATTTAGCTACATTTATCTTTTACCCACTATATTTCTAATTTTAGTTTTAGCTATGCCTTTGCTAAATTTAGCTCTTAGCTACATATTTTCTACATTTAGCTTTAGCAACGATTTTTAAAACATTTGCGTTTGTTACAGTTTTGTTAATATTAGCTTAGTGGATTTATCTTATTTTAGCTTTAATCTACAGTTTTGATATATTTTGTTGTTTTTTGTTTGAATTTAGCTTTTAGCCACTGTTTCGCTAATTATAACTTTTAGCTCAGACTTTGCTACATTTAGCTTTTAACTACTGTATTTCTAATTTTACTTTTAGCTATGTCTTTGCTAAATTTAGCTTACATCTTTTCCTACATTTAGCTTTAGCAACTATTTTTAAAACTTATGTTTAACTTAGCTTTGAGGAATTCTCCAATTTTAGCTTTAATCTACAGTTTTATTATATATTTTTTGTTTAAATTCAGCTTTAACCCACTGTTAAGCAAATTAAAGCCTTTTGCTCAGACTTTGTCACATTAGCTTTTAGCTATGACTTTTCGAAATCCATCTTTTACCGACCGTTAAATAAATTATAGTTTTTAGCTCAGATCGTCACATTTAGCTTTCTGCTCATTTTAGCTTCTCTTCTGCTTGTTTTAACTTTAACCAGTCATTCTTCAACAATCTTCAGACGTTTTATTGTGTAATATATAGAAAACCTAAATAAAGATTAGATAGAATCATGAGAAATCTTTAAAGTTTTTAACAGTAAATTGTAATTTCACGTCTACGCAGGTCGTCCTGTTATATATCCTGGTGCGTGTGTCTATGTTTAGAACATGGACGGGGCAAAGCTTCACACACTTCACGCTGTGTCTTGAGCAAACATTCTCTAATCCAGGCTAAAGCCGAGGAGATAGACCTGGATCCAAGAGACAACAAACCGGAAGCCTCAGTGGAAGCCTGCAGCGCTGACATTCACAGACAGCTCGGCTCAAGTTTGAGTTTTGCCTCCATGCCATGAAGCGCACACAGAGCGCCAAAAAACAAATTCTTGTGACTGTGACATAAAAAAACCTGCATGAATGGAAAATTAATTGCATGGAGACGAGGCTGTAATAAGTGAAGAATGTGTGGCTCGTCAGCAGGACTGAGAGGTCAAACGGTGTAAAGAGGCCATTAGACATCCAAGCGTCAGCAGCACTTTGACCGACAGCGCCGGCACTCACCGCAGACTCAGACGAGTCAGAAAAGGTTACAAAATGGATTATTTTGACAATCGTGTCAAAAGGGCTTTATCTGGGTTTAATTTCCTCTTCTCCTGACCCCAAAAAGCAACACAAAGATGCTTTTAAGAAAACTTTACAAATGATTTACACGATGATTTTCACTGGCCTACACAAGGCGAGGTCAGTGAACGAGGCCAGGCTTATTCTGGCAGATCCTGATCACCCACTCCATGGTGAGTTCAGGTTGCTTCCATCTGGACGCAGGTGTCTGCTGCCCACATGTTGGATGAATAGACTGAAAATCTAATTAATCCCTGTAGAGATCAGGCTTCTCAACAAACAATGATGATTTCTATACTGTTATTGTTAGAGGTGCACCGATAAATCGGCCGGTCGATTT